CTAACATGGAAGCAGTTAAGACGCTCAGTGAACTACGAGTTCCTCGAGAGTTGGCCGGAGCCAATCTGGCTGATCAAATGATGATGCTGCGAATAAACGGTGAATCAGAGGCGAAAAATAACAGATCAGGTAAGAAGACACTCGAATCGTGTAGTATGTCGGATAACTGGGATTCTGAGGTGGTTACAATTACTCTAAAATGTCCTGGGACAGTGCACGAGGCGAAGTTATCATTACTGTATCTTTGTATGCATATAGCTACCTATTGTGTGGTGCAACACCCTTTTCTGTGCTGCTTTGTTTCAGGGACAATAGAAGGTCAATTTTACAAGGTCTCTTTGGGCATGCCGCATGGAAGTTGCTCCAGCCTATCGATAGACGGCTGGAATTGGTAGTGAGATCTGAGAGATACTGAACGCACCGAAAGTGTCTTGATGAGAACTTGATAAATTAACCGAAAATTATTGAAACGAGCAGAATAGCTATACCTGGAGCAAGAAAAATCATTGGTTGTCGCAAAGTTGGCCCAATTTTCCAGAAGTTCGAGTCTTCCTAGAGAAAATCCTAACTTCTAAGTTAATATTTCGTGATATTAACGATTACTTTGCCGTTTGTCAACAAGATAAAGATATTTAGGATGAATTCCCTAAACTAATAAATAGAATAGATGCCAATACTAAGATTACTATGGAGTAAAAATGAAATTGGAGATTCTTAATCCTCTTCTCATACTTGTCCCTTGATTGTAGACGTTAACCCAGTCTGTGGATGTCCGGTTGTCCCGATGCAGGAGGTCAAAGTCAAGCCAGGGCAATGCAGCTGTTCAACGCATCACCATGTGATGAACCAGCATGACGCGGGGATTCCACGCACCAGCTGGACACCGTTCAGTGCTGATGTGCGCAGTCAAGTTCCCCCCTCGACGACTCATCCAAGCGCTGATGTTGCGTTGGCACAGACTACAACCTAGTCCATTTAGATAGTAGTGCTTTCAAGCCGAGAAGGAAGATGCCATGATTTTGACACTTTTATCACAGTTCCTCAGATTCACTTGACTAATTACTATGTGTGCCTGGGTTTAATTTTGATGTTTTCAGGCGATAACGAAGTGACCAGAAGGGCAGTTCGCCAATCAAAGATTATTTCAACATAGAAGATAAGAGGAACAAGCTTCAACATAAATGATGCTAAAAATGGCGACAATCTACGAGGTACTAATGAAATTCTATAACATAGCCCAGCATATTTTTAACCTTAGCTGATGAATCAAATTACTACTCATATATCAGTTTAATAGCCTTCTTTTAATCCATTTTCAACCTTATCCATTTTTGAGATCCTGGAACAAAACGAATTTGATCGAACCACTCCGTTTTCTTTCTCTATATCAGGTTATTATGTGGAATAAATGCATTTTGAGCGACAAATTGTTCAGACTTCCACTCATGTTTGAAAAGGCCTTTAAAGAAATTGTCTTGTTCCCCATTGCTTTCGGTAAATACGAAAAGTAATTGGGATAACATTGTCAAGGAGA